GTAGGGACAGCCATGTCCTTGACTTAATAAAAGCCTTTTGGGGAAGCTCTGTCTGGCCCACGTTAAGTGCAGCTGCCACACGTCCTTGAAATTACTGAATGATGCAATGATAGATTTAGGCAAAAATGCTTATGCTGCACCTGTGTGATTTTTGGATGTTTAACTTTCTCAAGTTTATTTGTATTCCTCCTCCAAGCAAGGTGTCATGACACTCAATTTGGGGGAGGCTGATGGTGAGGTCCCCAAGCTGTGTAGCATCCCCTATCCCTGCTACATCCAGAGCATCAATGGGATTGTGTAGGAGGTGCACAGTCTGTGTTCTTAGTGCAAATGGAAGACACCAAATTGGAACAGGTAGGGAGTGCTGCCTGCCCTTGCTGTGGGCAGCAAGGGCCACAGGGATGAAGGCTGCTGGCAGGTCAGGGAGAGGGAGGAAAAGCAGTGGACGCGCAAGTGCTACTCATCCATAATTGACAGGCTGCAGCTTTGGCCACAGGAGCTGCCTGCACCATGATGAGGAGAGAGCCCAGGAAAGCATGGAGAGCATGAACAGAAGAAAAGCTTTTGATTGCATCCCAAACTCCTTCACAGGCTTGCTGGCGGGACTGGTCAGGGAGACAAAGTCCCCTAAATCCTTCAGGACACAACCTGTAAGCTCCTGCACCCCTGCAAAGCCACCACCTCAGGGTGGAAGGTCTGTTTGCGGAGCAGACCCTGCTCCAGCTGGAGACCCTACCCTGCTGTGGGTGGACAGGCCTCCCTTCCCTTGTTGATACTGGGAGGTTGAGGCCTGCCTCTCTTGTAGGGTCTTGCTGACTTAAGCAGCTCCAGCCTGAATGCCTTTGGCTTGTCAGTGCTGACAGCAAGCACTGCCTGTAGGCAGCCTTTCCTCTGCCCCTCCATGCTTCACCCTTGCATACCAAGTGCTCTCAGAAACAGCATCCCCTGAGCAGGACCACCCCTTTTTCCCTCACAACTCGCTTGTCAAGGCTAAGGTGAAACTGCACAGCAGGCACAGCGGCACCTCTCCATGGCTTCTTTTCATCTGTGTTTCTCAGTGTCAGAGGAAACACAGCGAAGGCTGTCAGGTTTCCCAGACTTTTCTGAGAATGTGTCCTGAAGTGACCTCCAAAAGGAACAGGCACGGAGACCTGTGAAGGAAGGCTTGGAGTCAACCAGCAAACCCAAACCAGGACTGACACCTGAATATGTCTGTATTATCTGTCAGCTGGGGAATTTAAGGTCTATTCCTTAACAATGCAGTTCTTGATAATGATTAATTCTCACACAATTTTCATCATCCTCTCTTCGTTTCCCATCCTGTGAGTCTCTAGCTCTGTGCTCAATAAGCTGGGAGTACCATGGAGCTGATGTCACTTCTTCAGCATGGCCAGCTATGCTTCTAGTCACAGAGGGGCAGGTGACGAGACTCAAAATGTCTTTGAGCAGAGCGGTCATGACTTAAATGAACTTGTCTTATCTTGTCTAATTTTCTTCTATTGTGCCTGATGGTTTTAGGTTTTTACCTCCCTGCTAAATACGGTGGAAGGTTCCTCTGTTCCTCACACTGTTTACCGTGGCTTTGATTTTGCTGCTGTGTATTAAGCTTCTTGTGCTTATCTTCTGGCAACATCTAGCTACTTGAAAACCTTCCTCCTGCAGCCTCCCTCTCTGCCCCTTTTCTGCTTGCCTGATTCACACACTTGGCCACAAAATCTGTCTGGCTATGCCATCACATAATTACAAAGCTCTTGGGCAGCGTTTGTGTTACACTAGTTGAGTATGCTTATACATGTGTTTAAGAAAAGCTAATATTAATTATATCGGGGTTAGCACATGTCTAATTCTTGAGTAACCCAAAGCTTTGCTTTGGTTACACAAATCCCTGTGCTTCAGATCCCTGCATGTTATGAGGCCATGGGGCGTGAGACACACAAGGATTCTTGCAGGATGTGGCACTAAACGTGTTTGAACACAGTGATGCCAAAAAGGGGCAACAACAGCTGGCAGGATGGCTACTCCAGCCATTGTCAAAATCACTACTCCAGTGTTGTCATTTGTTTTTTTCATGATGTACTGCTTCCACTGCCAGTTCCAGTCACTGCAATATTTTTATACCTATACAGTTTATACATAATTGTTTGGGTTTTTTTCTATAGTATTTTCTTTCTTTTGAAGGTATCTTCTGTCTTAAAATTCTCCAGTGTTTTTGCTGTTGTTTTGGTTGGTTGGTTTTGTGATTTTTTGTTTGTGTTTTGTTCGGGGGTTGTTGGGGTTTTTTTGTTGTTTAGCATTTTTATGACAATTCTGCTTTTACTGACTTAAAAATACAGCTCCGATGTTAATTTGGTTTTGTCTGGGGCAGGGATTACAGTGTAGACAAGCCCCACTGTAACTCCAGCCAGGGTGACTCAGTGCTGTAGAAGCAAGCCTTCCAGTGTGGGAGGTGCACCATGGGAGTACAGGACACTGACAAATCATCCTGTCAGCACAAAGGATCTCACCTGAGCCTTCTACAAGTCTCTAATGAGGCAGCTGTATTTCACAGGAGCACACCTGGGGCTGCCTTTTCCCTGTACAGATCCTGTCCCTTTTGCCTTCTAGGCTCTTAAAGACAAGTCTGGCCAACAGAGGACAGGGTGGGCAGGAACTGGTCTTCAGACCACAGCATACCTCACCCCCTGGCTCGTGTGACCTTGAGCTCTTCCAGCCCCATGCAGTCCCCAAAGGAGGCTACAGAAAGAGGGCAGAGAGAACTGGTTGTTCTGAGGGGCTGCAGGAAGCCTGTAGGAGTATCTCCCTGAGCAGAGCTGCTATGGAGACAGGCAGTGATAGTGCCCTGCAGGAAGATTTTGGACTCACCTATTCCAGGGGCCTCAAGACTGGCTGCTGTGCAAGAACAAGTACTTTTCTTGCAACAGAAGTCTTGTCTTGTCCCCAGCTGTGCACAGGATGGCAAGAACGCCTATCTGCATGTGTCAGAGGGCTTCTCTAGGATCTACATCTGTGATGGGAGAAGTTGGCTGACATTTATGTCCCTCTCCTTTGGCTGTACAAAAGCAGAAAGCCTCTAGTGACACAGCCAGGAACATTCACCTTTGCAGGAGGCTTTCTGCAGTACCAGTTTTCCAGTGGCACCTACAGGAATACTGTAGAGGCCTCTGCTGGGATGACTGGGGTCAAAGAAGGCTTGTTAAAGCATCCAGACCACCACACCTTTGGCAGGAAGAGAACATGGGCCCATCCCCCATCATGCCAGGCCCACGCCTTAACATTAAAATCCCTCTGTCCTGCTAAGATTTTGTCTTCACACTTTTGATAGGCTTTCCAAGGAAAGGCACATCTAAATGTAAGCTGTGAGAGACAAGTTATGCAGCCTTGAGGAGAGGAGTGTACAACACTAATCTGACTTCAGCTATGGTAGTAATCACAGCCTAACAGATAAATTTGAGCTTCTTTTGTTCTAAAGACAAATGTGAAGTTGGTGAGCTATCAGAAACAGCTGATGGTGCAAGCTAGGTATTTGTGTGAGCTACATGGCCTCACTCTTAGCAGGGCCCTAATGCCTCTGTGGCATGATGCCAGGGTATGACAAACCATATCCTGGAAGAGCAGCTGCTCCACTACATATCAGGAATTCAGAACTAGCCCCACACACCTGTATGTCTAATACACTAGTAGAGAGAAAAATCTCCCCTTTCAAATATCTTTTATATTCTTGGATAAAGGTAAGAGTGTCTTAGCTGGTGCAAGGCAGACTCTGACCAGGGTGATGGCAGATTTTGGAGACCTTTGGTAGCAGTATTTCATCACTCCTTTAACCTACCCTTCAAGATAGAGCTAACTCTAGTTTAACCTACTGCTGATTTCACAGCATCATTTTAAGGATCTAAGATAACACTTCAGATCAACATTTTGAGCACAACTTAATGCACATCTGGCAATAGAGAGACCTTTGGTTTGTGCTACATAGCAGATCTGATGCACCCTCACATCTATGAAATAGTTTTTAAAGTTTAAAACATTGATAAAATATTTTCTTAAACCACCCTTTATTTAAAAAAAAATAAGCATTTGTAAATATATAACATTATAAAGTATCCAGTGCTTCTTGCTTCTCAGTATAGTAGGAGTCAGGAGTGGCACATCAATTTGGTGTTAATTTGTCTGGTGTATTAGGTCTAGGGCTGCAAAAACTGACCAGCCAGTTTTGCAAAAGACAGCTAATTGCTATTTCTCTGACAGTTCCAAATTGATCTTGCTTCACCTCAGTTTCACACTTACTTCCTGCTCCTTTTGACAAACATCAGGGCTTACGGTTAGAGCAAGGATGGAGCTGCAGGAACTAGCAGGTTCCCTAGAAGCATGCAGGTAGGTGTTTTACAAAGGGGTAGATTTCCAGTTGCTAATGGGGAAAAGAATTCAGCCATTGAGAGAGCTCCTCTGTGCTGTGCTTCTATTCAGATCCCCTTGCAAGATGCATAGTGTGAAGCATCACCAAGTCTCATCTGTCTCATTTTTTTACCACTGAAATGTTACACGGTAAAGGAGCAGTCGTTATGCTGTACAAGAACGACAGTGCTTAAGCTGTAGCTTTCAACTAGGTTTTTGATAGGCTTCTACCCTTCTGAAAGCTTCACCCTTGATCAAATACATGAAAATTTTTTAAAAAGTATTCAATACGATGTTCCTTTCCTCTGCAACATTTCTTTAGCTTGAATCAAGTCCACTAAAAGTCCCTGCTACCTGCATAGTTGTCCAGTCTGACTTTGACCTTTCTAGCAGCAAAGCCTTTCTTACAGCCTGGACTCACAAATAAATACAAGATTGAGGAAAACACAGCAAAAGTGATGTGAAGCAGTAACTCTGCTTCAACCCTTGCTTATTGTGCATCAGGACCCAGATATCCCCATGTTAGCTGAGCATTTGCAGTCATGGTCCCTGCTCATAGGCCTAAATTCTTTCCTTATTAGGCCCTTGGCATCCCCTTTTTGGCCTGGTTAGGCTTCAAGAACATCTTCTGTTGCTGTATCTTCTGCCTTGAACAAATCACCACTGTTAGCCTCAGCCTGGAGCCGCCTGTAGTCAGTGTGGAAGAAGATGACATAGAAACAAGCCAGAGCACTGCAGAGGCCAGCCAGCACCAGTGCCGAAGCTGCAAGAGAGAGACACTTTTACAGGGTGAACTCACAACTCCCCATGGGTGCCTACAACCAGGGGTCAGCCCCCCAGCAACCGCACAGCCTGGGTGCTCTCTCAAGGGTCTATCCCTGAGGACACGGGGCAATGTGAGTTTCCTAGCAGCCAAGCCTTGCCTCATGTAACACTGGCATAGGAAGGGGACTTGGATGAAACGTGGAAGGTTTCCAGGTCCTTTGTCCTGCATAATCCCATAGGTTGGAAGTCTTACACCTGTGGCACACAGCATGTATGTAGGAGTGTGTGTTCCTGTGTTTGTATACACATTTGTGTTTTGGCGAATGATGAAGAAAGTTACAAAAAAGACTAAATCAAAACACTTGAACTTGGTAACAGATCCATGTCTGTGTTGGGGGGCAGTTATTCTGAAGCCTTGTTCCCTGCCAGATAATGGAGCTTGTTCTGGGGAGTTTCTGCTCAGCCAAACAGGATATATTTAAAATGTTTGCTAGCCTTTGTGTTACAGTGTATCCCCAGGAGTTGGTGTCAGTATTACATAAATTAGAACCAGCTGAAAGATCAGGATCAGGGTTTAGCCTGCAGTGGCAACCTGTTTGTGCTCCTATTCACCTCAGTTGCTGTCTCTAATCCTTGATCAGCTACGAAAGGAAGGGAAATGTGGAATAAGTAAGAACAAAGTTGTACTGGCATATGTTACAAGCCCAGGTAACTGTGTGCAAAAGGAAGGGAAGTAGCTTCAGTCAGGGCATTTATAGTCTTGGCCTCCCACACTGCAAAGCAGCACAGGCTGTTCTACCTGGACAGCATCTTCACCCCAGAACAGCTGCTTGATAGCTTGGTAAAGCTCAGGTCTCTGTGAGGTGGCCATATAAGAAATCTTAACCTGGAGCCACCAGCAGCATTTGTGGCATCTTTAAGGGTCTTCCCACTTCAATATTGAAGGCTTGGCTTAGCAGAAGCAACAAGGAGAGCACCCTTATGTTGGGAGAGATGGCTAAGAGGTATGTGATCATAGAAGTCAGTCTTGTGGGCTCCCCCACAGTGACATCTGGAGGAGAGTGAGGGGTAGATGGGGTGCAGCTGAGTGTCCAGCATAATTTCCTGTGGACATACTTACTTGTCCAATTCAGGGCTCCATCCTGGTCAAGGGTGCAGGTGGAGGATGGATCCTCAGAAACACGCACGGTGAGGGCTTGTAGCAGAATCATTAAAATCACACCTTCAATCTGACTGTGGGGAGAAGCCAACTTGCAGTCATGGTGCCTGCCCAATTCATCAGTGCTGCAGAAAAGCCTAGCTTTCCCAGCAGGAAGAAAGTGAGGACTATCTCTGGAGCAGGGTCCTTCTAGCACAGAAAGCTATTGCAGGCAGGCAGGTGTTCAATTACAGCTGTCAAGGAGCTGAGTCTTAGTCATTGTGCAGGGACTTGGAAATAGCCCTCACTGCAGGTTTGAGTATGAGAAGTCAGACTATGACTTCAGCTTCCTCCTCATTCATAACTGGCTGGCAGCAGCAATGAAGTCCACAACTGGTGGAAGACAACAGCCTTCAAAGGCAATGTCTAATGCCCCTCTTGCTGAAACACACCCATAGCACCAGGCCACATACATGACTGCTTAGGACTCCAACAAATGATTCCAGCTGCAGTTCAGTGCCAGCCTTATGCGTGTCCACGGGAAGGGCTGTCACTGCCCCATCTGTAGTGACCTATGTGTCAGTGCCCTATGAATGATGAGCCCCATCTCCCTGAGCAAAGCACTAAGACCTAAGGAGTCCTTGAGCTGCTGTGGGAATGGGAGTCCCTCTAGGGCATATAGCCCCCATCTGCTTCAAAAGTAGGTGGTGCTGGGCACAGTTAAATCCTTCTTGGTGCCAAACAAGAGAGACCTTCATCTTCCTTCTTGCTTTTCTTGCACTAATGGCACATATTCTTCATTGATTTAAAACCTTTAGCTCTTCAGCTCTGTGACTCAGCCTGCCTGCTT